TGCCTGGATTAGGAGCCGCTCATTGTAACTGATCGCCTGCAACATGATGTTAAATCCCTGTAATCTGCAGATACAGGGCATAAAAAACACAACAGCAACAACAAAATACAGGAAAAACGCAACCCCCAGGAAGGCTCCCCAGGAACATCATGGAAGAGGGGGAAAGGATTTTAAGAGCAGGAGGACCAAGGCAAGATAAACTCTTCTAAAAAAAGGGGGCGGGGAGAAAGAAGAAAAGATACCATCTGGAGGATGGGCAATCAGGTTAGATCTGGGAAGGGGGGGTGAATTTGATCAAGATACATTATAAGAAATTCTTAAAGAATTAATATTTTAAAAAACTTTAAGCAGAAAATAAGTATTACTCATGATCCATCTCTACCCACCTCACCCGCAAGAGACTCTCCAGTGTGAGCACAAACAGCTGAGTGTTCTTCCTAAGAACATATGTTTGCAGGAAAACACAGCTGTAAATCCCTGCCTGTGCGCACACACACAGACACAGACACACACACACAGACACACACACACACACACACACACACACATACACAACACACCTGGATACAGATCACTGTTTACGACATTCAGCTTTGTCACATACTTTGAAGAAAAAGCTCATTAAAAATTGAAACATGATTGAATAGCAAGGCATCAAAAAAAAATGAAAAACAGTGAAGGAAAAGACAGTCCCAGGAATATGCTCGCAGTCCTTAGCCTGTCCATGTCACAGCAGTTGGACACTGAGAGAAAGAGACGACTCGGACATGCGGTAAGCCAACTAAAAGTCTTTATTCGCCGGCCAGTGACTACACTGGGTGTTCAGGGTCCCAGGGTAGCACCAAGCCTTTCTCAGGGTGACCTTTTAAGCACAAAAACCACATCCTTTGTTGACATGCTTCAGTTAACATGAACAGTTAGCCAGAGCCGAGGTTAGTCCATTTAGAGACTTTCCCAGAACTCTGGACTTTGATGGATTAGGTCTTTGTTTTCATTTTGGCAGGTGGTGCTGTAAAGTGTCAGTTCCACTGAGTCTGTCTGATAGTCAAAAGGGATGTATTCCGGGTTAACTCACAATATGCATAAGGGAGTTGGTCACAGGAGCCAGGAGGGGTGGGGCGTGGTCCAATGCGGTTCTCCAGAGAACTCCACCTTCGTCTGCAGCACCAGCATCCAGCATCCAAGACCTCAAGGTAGCCAAGAGAGCGAGCACATACGCATTCCAGGTCTTAAGGGGTCCACCTAGGCCATGCCCCCCTCAGAGCGGGGGAGGAAGGGAACCTAGCAGTTACCTGCTTTCTGCCAGGGGTGGTGCTTCAGGGTAAAGCACAGACCACCACCCCTACAGTGCTGTCCATGTGCCAACTTACAGCCTGAGTAGTACTTCCATCATGGAGTCAGTTGTGCTAAGGTCTGGGGGCCTACTAAGGTCTGCATGTCTGTTACAAATCGATTTGTCCTCTGACCTCTACACATATGCCATGGCACATACGTGCCCCTCACCAATAAATAAATACAGGTGAAAATTATTTTTAAAGACATAAAAGGGATTAAATTAATAAAACATGCTCTTGAGATGACTAGTGTTGTCAACTTGACTGAATCTGTAATTTTCTGGGAAATAGGCCTCTGGACACACCTGTGTATGATTGTCATCATTATATTACTGATGGGAGAAGACCACCCTCAGCTGTGAGTGGGACGGTCCCTTGAACAGAGGATCTTAGACTGTAAGGTGGAGACAGCATGCTGAACTGCAGCCTGCATTCATTCCCATCTCCTAGTTGTTGATGTGATGGGACTGGATGTTTGACTTTCCCATCATGATGGACTGTGAGTTAAAATAACCCTTTTTTTCCCTCGAGTACCTTTTATCCAAGTATCTTGCCACAACCACAGGACAGAAACCAAGATGAGTAGAATAACTTTTGGTGTGCGATGATTCCTGCTGGTTTGCTTGCAAATGATCTCCAAGCTTTCCCCTTTTCTCTGCCTCATGAAATCACATGACTCAAATCTATACAGAACTTTGAATTTGCTTAATAGAGTCGCAGGAGCCTTGGCAAAAGGACCTAAGCAGTCAGGAGAAGCTGGCTAAGTTGAAGTTACCAAAATAAAGGACTGGATAATTTGGGCACCTTGAATGGTATTTTTGGTATTTTAATTCATAGCAAGTGTCAAGAAGCTAGCTAGAAGGAAGAGGAACATGTTGAATTATGTGAGAGAGCTTGCTCTTCTTTGCAAATCCCATGAAATAGTTGCCTGTAGTTCTTTGTCTAGGGGTGGGACCCTGAGGAAATTTCCCTTTTCTACATTGAGGTATCCATTGATATTGCCATTGTTTTGGTCTTGTTTGTGCAGCCATTTCGGTAAGAGACTGTCTCACACGAGTCTTGTGGCTTCCTGGTATTCTCGTATCTCATTCTTACTGTCTTTCTGCCTTCTCTTCCTTGACATTCCCTGAGTAGTCAGCCTTTAAACCATCTACATACAAACAACTCAAAAAATGTACACAGCAGGTTTTGTTTAAACACACACATCTATGTATGTAACACATGTAATCAAATAAACTATCATCTTTGGGTGGGGCATGGGAGGAACTTAAGGGAAGGTATCCAGGAAGAGCTATAATTCTATTTCAATTAGAAACATTTTTCTTTAATTTTTGAGATTACAATTACATCATTTCTCCTTTCCCTTTCTCCCCTCAAATTCTCCCATGTACCCCTCCTTGCTCTGTTTCAGATCCATGGCCTTGCAGCTGAAGTTTTCCTGTGTCCTCAAGCCCACAGGCTTCAGCTGGCCTAAGAGAGACAACTAGGAAGCTGTTTTTAGCTCCGTTTTAGAATCTTTTTTTTTTTTAAATCTTTCTCAGGTTTTAGGTGGAAACTCTTGCCCCATGTTGGGCACCATTTGTAGCTGAAGTTTTCCTATGTCCCACCCAGTTCACAGATGCTCAGACCCAAGTAAACACACAGAGGCTTATATTAATTAAAACTACTCAGCCATTAGCTCAGGCCTACCACTGTCTAGCTCTTACACTTAACACTCAGCCCATTTCTGTTCGTCTATATGTTGCCACGTATTCCGTGGCTTTACCTGTGTGCCATTGCATGCTGCTCTCTGGACGGTGGGCTGGTGTGTCTCCTGACTCAGCCTTCTTCTCAGAATTCTCCTTGTTTATTTATCCCACCTATACTTCCTGCCTGGCTACTGGCCAATCAGCATTTTATTTATCAACCAATCAGTGCAACATAGATTCATAGCATACAAAAACATCCCACAGCATGGCCTCTTTTTCATTAGTTGTTATTACATGCATATTTGTATGTGTACATACATACATATTCCTAAATATAATCTTCTCAGTCTGTACAATGTTACTTGTATGTATGTTTTCACAGTTGACCATTTGGTATTGAATAACCAATTGTGCTCTTCCCTGGAAAAGACTATTTCTCCTGCACTCAGCATTTCTTAGTTGTCTGTAGTTCTTGGCATAGGATCGAGGCCACATAGGCTTTTCCCACCCCCACTTTGGTGTGTCACTTAGTGTCATTCTTTTTCAGCAATTGTTTAGGCAGTCATGTTGGTGAGAATTTATGGATGTCACTTCTGACATTACTCAGAGACATATTTTTTTAAAGGGAAAAAAATCGCATTAAATGAGCTAGATGAAAGACTCTACTTCCTACTGTGGCTTCTGAATCCTGAGAAAAAACACACAACATGGTCCTCACTCTGTTGACCTACAGAAAAGGCAGGATGTGGTCTTCTGATGTGCTGACTATGTAGAGAGTACATGAACTCCTGGGAAAGTCAAACAAGACAAAGGATTGTTATTCACTGAAGAAACAGTTCTTAAAAAAAGAAAAAAAAAATATCCTTAGGCTGGGCATGGTGGCCCACGCCTCTAATCCCCAGCACCAGGGAGAGAAAAGCAAGTGGATCTCTGTGAATTCAACATCAGTCTGATCTACGTAGTAAGCTCCAGGCCAGCCAAGGCTATTTAGTGAAACTCTGCCTCAAAAAATAGTAACAATAACAACCAACCAACCAAACAAACAAACAAAAACACTCTTTGCTGGGTAGCTTACACCTAAAATTTCAGCACTGAGAAGCTAAGACAGGAGGATTGCTGAAAGTTTGAGGGTAGTGTGGACTACACAGTGAATTACAGGCTGTTAAAACACTTCAGGCCTAATCCCACAGCCTGAACCAGGCCACACCTCCCTGCAGCTCTCTCTGGGACAGACAGTGAAGAAGCAATCTGTGCTGTGATTTGACATCTCTCCTTTTATGGTACCTGGCTCTCCAAGCTCCCTGCCATGTATGTTATACTTATCTAAATCATGTGGTGTGAAACTTCCTACCACCCCTAAAAGTCTGTATCACCTATGGTAGTTTGAATGTAATTGAAGGGTTCACAACGCGGTTGCATTTACAAGGCGGACACTTCCGCCTAGCCATTTCCGCATCAAGAGCGTCCTGTAGCTAGGATACCTGATGGGCCCGGATATCTCCGCCTAGCAAGTTCCAGGCCAAGGGGTCTCCGTGATCAGAGCCCGTGGCATTGCATGGTTATGTAAGCGCACAACATGACCATGTGATCTACGCACACGCGTAGAGTAGTGACGTGACCTGGCCACGCCCCCAGCGGGTTTTAAAAGTCCGGCGCGATATTCCCCACTCTCTTCTCCATGCACGTGTCTCTTCCACAGGCCTGCACACTCTCTGTCCTTTGTTTCTAATAAACTCTATAAGCGGATTCTGTCGTGTTTCGTGACGTTTCCTTGTAGGGGTAAGAACACAACGCAGACAGAAAACTAACAGTAATGGCCCTTCATAAGCTCACAGGGAGTGAGTGGCACTTTTAGGAGACGGGGCCTTCTTGAAGTAGGTGTGCCCTTGTCGGAGGAAGTGTGTCACTGTGTGGGTGGGCTTTGAGGTCTCCTATGCTCAAGCTATGCCTAATTCGGTTCACTTCCTGTTGCCTGCAGATCAAGATGTAGGACTCTCAACTCCTTCTGTAGCACCATGCCTATCTGAATGCCACCATGTTCTGCCGTGATGATAATGGACTAAACCTCTGAACTGTAAGTCACCCCAATTAAATGTTTTCCTGTATAAGAGTTCATGGTGTCTCTTCACAGCAATAGAAACCCTAATGAAGACACCACCCCTAAAAATTCATTAAAAAAAAAAAAAGCAGACCTTCCCTTTGTTCTGGGGGCTAATTTGTGACTCCTTGGGAAGATTCCTGGGGAATTTGGTCCAGAGATGAAGGATGCTCTCAAAAGAGGCTCTTCTAGCCCTTCCCCATACTGTTCCTCCCCTCCCTCCCCCCCCCCCAAATTTTTTCTCCCCAGTCACATCCTTAGGGAAGCGCCTTTCTAGTCTTTAAAGGGAAGCCTCTCCTTCCCTTTAAGGCCTCATCATACTTATATTGAATTATTCCTGTCTAATGTTCTCTCTCCCCTTTGAGGCCCCATCATGGCCTTGAGGCCCTCTCATTTCAATAAACTCCATTAAAGGGAGTTGTGTCAGCTTTCCATTGTAGACAGATAGCTGCTGTTATCTACTTGTTATATTTAACATGAGCCAACAGTGTCTCAAAAACAAAAGTAAACAAATTTAAAACACATCTTGCTGAGCGTTTGCAAATCTTATCAATAGCAGGGGTGTTCATTTGGGACTGGCTTTACCTGCATGAGTCAATCTATGAGCGTGCCTCTCCTGCCCCCAACCCGAAACCCTCTTTACTTCCAGGATCTGTTCTCGCTGTCTATTCTCTGTCTCCTGTGCCCAGGGTTCTGCTGGGGACTCCAGTTTCATCCATCTTTGCTGTCTACCCCTACTACACAAATAAAACCGTAACAACTCTGGTAGCAACAAAAATTCTGAAGAGAGAAACTTGGTCTCTCCTTTTGCCTACCAAACCACTGAGACAAGGGACCACAAGAATCAACATCTCCCCAGAAACCCCATGCTGAGGGAGTAGAAAGGCTGGAGTGTGGTGACAGACAGAGGAGGAACTTGTCTCCCAAGAGGAGGTTTCACCAGTGTGGACCACTTGTCAGACCTTCCTGCAGAAAAGACTGAAGCTGGGAGGAGGAGGATGGACAGGAGACTCCTGGACCAGAACTGCTTTTGCATAGCATGTTCCCTCTGTTTAAACCTAAGCCTCATGGCTTAGGTTTAGTCCTGAGGTTGGACTTGGGAGTTACTGGATCTCTCCCATTTGTTCCTCTTCCCAGGGTGGCCACATTTTCTCTATTTTGCTATCACTGTTTAATTGGCATATCCAGAATCAGTGCTCGGTCATCTTGTTAGGACTGTCAGGGCCCAGGCTTGGGCTCTAAAAACTCCAGTAATAAGTCCAATGAACCAAAACTGATTTCCCTTCAAAATAATACCAGGGGATGGCTGCCTTGGTTTGCTGGTGTGTCTAGACCCAGACCAGCCTTGTCAAAAAGCAGCCTTCATTTCTTCTAACAGCCTTTATGCCTACACATAGACAAAAGCCCAGCTATTTTGATGCTTCATGTCTAGGTGGCTTCCCTTTTACAGTCCTCTCTTGTAGGGGTCATGAGATCATTGTACTCACAGAGAATCACTAAGAAAACAAGGAATGTTAAACACACAGGGTTGCCTCCACAATGGAGGAGATAAAATCAAATTCCTGCATTCCTTCTAGAAAGTTGAGGGAGGAGGATGTTAACGACCTGGTGACCTTTTTGCTTAGGGACAGACCTCGCCCTAATTCCCCAGAATGATTATCCCAGACTGTTCCCTCTCTAGACTATTATCTTTAGTCCCCAGTTAATAGAACTCAACCTTTAGAGAGATGTCACATGTATTTTATGGTCTGCTGACTGATAGGCTGTCTCAGTCAGAGACCACAGTAGAGTCTAGCCCTTTTAGCCACCTTCATGGTTACATATACTTCGTAAAGGAGTGTCTAAGTAGTCACACATTAAGCTTTATTGTGCACCTGGATTTGGAATGATTGTTGCCTAGAAACCCTTTCCAAATTCTCCTGTGTTTAACTATGCCTACAATAAACCACCTGGCATGAAGACTCTCTAGAAGTCTTGAATCAAGTTGACAAAGTCAATCTGAACCAAGTTTTCTTTCTCACCTCTTCACAATCCACTTCCCTGTGGGACAGCTGCAGAGACCCCCGCCTCTCTACCCACTCCTACCTATTTTACATAGAAGAGAGACTTGGAGAATTTCTTTTAACCAAACTCCTTTGTCCTTCCTACCTTAGGTCCTACATTTTTTTCTTTGGACTATAAATCGTGATCCTGTGACGTTTATGGGTGATCTTTTCTTTCCTGAAACCATCTTTCATTTCATGGAATAACACTTTAAAATGCTCCTGTGTGTCAAGACTAATTTAGTTGACTATACTGAACTCTCCAATGATGTCTTTTACTCCAGTTTAGCTGGAAGTTGTCTGATCTGCATTGTCAGCCAGCAAGCCCACATGACCATAATCTCTCCAAACCCTGAAACGCCATTCCCATATCCATCTGGTAAAATCCCTTTACCACACCTGTACCATTTCCCCACAAACACTGAACCTACTTGTGACAGTGGCAGGATCACTGATACTGGAATCAAGATTTCTTTTTTTTTTTCTATTATTTAAAACAATTTTTAAATTTAAATGTATTTTGTTCATATTCTTCCCCTCACCCAAGACTTTCCAGATTGTCTCCCCCTTTCTACCCACCAAACTTTAAGTTCTTTATCAAAAAAGCAAACAAAATCCCAATATTATAACAAAACCAAGAAAAAAATAACCCCTTCCAAACACACACACACACACACACACACACACACACACACACACCTACCAAACTGCAAACAGATAAAAGTACACAAAAACTATAGAATCCAATTAAACATTGGTCAACTACTACTGAACATGAGGCCTGTCCTGGAGTGGCTGACATCCCAGTGTCATTCTACTGGAGAAAACTACAAGTTTTCAAACTCAATTCTTTTTCCATCATTACACAATTCAGAATTTAAGCCTAGCTCCAGGCTTTCCAGTAGATTCTTGTAATCTGCACATCCATTCATCCTTTGAATAGTAATGTTTTAAGCACTCACAAGGTACCAGTTTTCAAACTAAGTGCTGGCACGAGACTTGAGGGAAAAAGCATGATTTCTGCCTCCGTGAAATTTACAGTCTAATGAAGAAAATGATAAATAGGTACTGCACAAATAAATATAAAATTATAAAATGCATTGTTACAAATGAAGAAGGCCTATGAAACGCGCTAAGAGAGAGTCATGGGGGACCCACGTTAGCCTGGGAGGGTCAGGAAAGTACCCCGTAGATATGTGGCCATTAAGCTAATGTGTGAGAGAATGGGTAGGGACTGATAAAAATGAAAATGACTACCGAACAGGCGAAGAAAAGGGTGTGGGTAGGACCTATAAGAAGAAAGTGCTTGAAGTACTCCAGGACGTGAAAACTCGGGGTGGCAGGATAAGGACCCTGGATAAAGGTCAAGGGTTAGATAGGACTGCAAACCTACGGATCCTGACAGCACATGTTGCGGTGTTCGGAATTCATTCTAGTTTCAATAAAACCTCATTAGGAATTTTAAGCAACAGATTAATGTGATAAAATTTTAGGGAACTCTCTTGCTCTGTGTGGTGGGATAGAAAGACAGAGAAAACTAAGTAGGCAAGAGAAAGACAAAAGGGCTTTTCACCTCTGTATTGGGTTTCCACTTCCTGGTGGTTGAGAGTCAAGGACCTCAATACAGCTGTCAAAATCAGTGAAGCGTGTCTACACAGAGATGACGTCTATTTTCGGAGGTATTTCAAACATGGTTAAAAACAACAAATGCGCTTGTGTTGGGCCAGAAGGTATGTGACCTTTGAGCTTAACCTTATCAGGGCACCCTCTCATGACTACATCTGAACCACACACCTCATAAAGTACCTTAAAGTTTCATTTACAAAACAAAGTTCCTTAAGATAAGAAAATCAAGCAAGTCACCCCCTGGTGTATTTTTACTTAAATTTTAAACTTTGTTTAATATTTGAACCTGGTTGCAAAATATATTTGAGCATTATGACTTCAAAAGCAACAAAATCACGTGTATAACTAACAGCTATTGCTAAGATGTTGCTCTTTCCACCCTCCACCTCCAGGAAATCTAAAGCATGACAAGCCCTGCCTTATCAATATTTAATAACCCCAGGCCCATTTCAGACTGACTTATCCTGAAATCCTATTCTGTGTTAAAGCCAAGATCTCATCTTTACCTGGTAATGGGCTGGGGACAGGGTCGGGGGGAGATGGGGGACGGGGGATGGGACAAGGCAGAGGTTCCTCCATCTTGTATTCTTGCTGAGGCTGTCCCTAGGTTTAACTAAAATCTGATCTCCTTGATGGAAAATCCCATGGAAAACTACCCAACTCTACCTAGATGCCAAAGGTCAGGCTGTCCCAGCTAACTTATCTTAGCCTTTGTCAAAACTGCCTGTTTGTGCGGAACCTCCTTCAGCTCGCCTCTTATCTCAGCTTCTGTTAAAACTGCTTGCTTCAAACTGCTCACTCTGCAAAGCTCCCTCTCTCCCTTGCAGCTGCTGAGCAAGATGCCTGGACTAGGTCTCTGCCCTTAAAAACCCAGTGTTCTGGACATTCAGGGCCACACCTAGGTCCCCGACTGCAGCTGGAATAAGAGCTTCCAATTAGCTCTACACTGTGTCTGAGTGCCCATCTCTGGTGAGCTCCCCGTTATAACCTGTTGAGAGGCTCAACTACTCAGGCAACATCTGGTAGGATCTGGTTGTGTCTCCTCCACTACTGCCAACGTGAAGGTAGCAGGGGGGTATACTAAGTATTATTGATCATAATTGATATCATGATTGATGGGAGCTTAGGCTGGAGAAATGGCAGAAAAGATACAAGTAGGAACACTCCAAATAAATATACTTTGGAAGTGAAACTAATGTTTGCAAATGCATTAAATTCAGGGGGAAAAAAAGAGACAAAACAAGTCAAGAGCAAGTCCCAGGATTGATGGATGGTGCTCTTGACTAATGTGGGAGGGAGGGAGAAGAG